TATTTTCTAGTTTGTTGTAATTTAGTAAATTTAGAATCATCATGAGCAAGAATCAATCAAGGATCAACAAAGGACTTATTTGGTAGTTCTCCCAAAATTAAATGCTACTATTAAATCGGTATACGGCGTTGTTCTATATTTGATTAATAGTAAGGGTTGTTAATGAACGGTCGTTGTTAATAACTACCCTCGATGAATTGGATATACTTCTCGATTGAGTATTCGAGAGGGGATAAGTTATAGATATAACAAGGATCGACTAAATATATCAATAAGTGGAAAGTAGCAAAGCCAAGTCCTTTTATCTTTGAATTAAAACACATATAGGTTGTTCATCTTAGTTTCTTATTAAATTAAATCATTCAACCCCAAAAACCCCCTTTTATTACTAGTTTTTTTTTTAAAGAGAATTATTTCTTTCCATGTGGATACGAGTTCTACTACGCTATACTACGTATAAGTGTTAGTATTGAATTTATTTTGACGCACTACGACAAAGTGCTCGACAGCGATGTCGTAGAACACCCCCATCTCCCTCTCCCGGAACTTTTGGTCGGCAGGGCTATGTTGGGTCCAGTCTTCGAACCTGGCCGCAACAACCTCAAAGCACCAAGGCCGGTGCTCCTTAGTTTTCCAGCCATCGCCAAGGAACTGCGCGATGGCGGCATCTGCGGCCCTCTCCGCAGCAGCTGCAGCATTCTGCTCTGCTTCGGCCTTGGCCTTTTTAGCCTCATTAGCACGGCGGAGGGCCTCCTCATGCGCCTTCTTCTCCTCAGCGAGCTCCTTGAGAGCCTCATCTCTCTCAGCGGCATAGCCTTGGGTGGCAGCATCGGCTTCATTAGCCTTTTTCTTCCGCACCTCCACCTCTTGTCGAAGCACCTCCAAACAGCCTAGAGCTTCATCAGCCAAAGCAGCCATCTGCTCTTCTTGCCTCAGACGAGCAATCTCCTGTTGCTGTCTTTTATGGCTCTCCATCAGCATGAAGGCCGCCTGAATCAAAACAAAACGGTTAGGACGACAGTGGCACCAACAAAAACCACAAATGAAAATGACCAAGTATGGAAGGGCAAACTCACTTGGACGAGGTTGTCCATTCCGCCGTCAAAAATCCGGACGTCACCCAACCCGTTGAGGTACGCCCAGTCTTCGTCCGGAACAAGCTGAGAGATTACCTCATGGCCGGTGACGAGTTCAATAAAAACGCCACCCTTCACCGGAAACTCGACTTCGCGCTTGTAAGTCCCCTTGACCAGCTCCTTGTCGGACCCTTTCTTACGGGAGCCTCGAGTATCAAGGGGAGGCTGGGAAAGAGCAGCGGACGATGGACCGGACGTGAGGTCCACAATAACATCAGCAGTGGAGCCTCCATCGGATCCAGCTGGGACAGTAAGGGCTCCGGCATCTGCATCGGACTAAGGAGAATCCCTCCTTGACTTCTTGGAAGGCTGCAAACCAGCCTCCGTCAGCTTCTTCTGGCCTTCATCCGTCGACCGCTTCTTCGGCTGAGTGGGCGGTTTCTTTGGCTGATCAGTGCTCGGCTAGGCTTCACTGGCCGACGCCTGCTTGGCGGCCAACTCCTCGGCCGTTTTCTGTGAAGCCCTCTACATGAAGGAGGTACGATTCATGACGAAGCCTGCACAACAAAAAAGTAATAAAGGTCAGCAAATAAGGAAATAAAGCAAAGGAAACCAAGGGGGCTTGGAGGGTATTACCATCAGCCTCAGCAGGCACACCCAAGTAAGGGCCATCGGCCTCCTCATAAGGCGTGGTCATCTTCGGCCACAAGTCATCATCTTCGTCGTCTCCATACACAAAGTACCTAACGAAGCTGAGAGTGGCCATCTTGTACTCGGTGATGTAATCCATCACACTCCTCGGCCCACCCTTCAACAACGCCTACACCTGAGCCTCTATGAGTGCACTCTTCGGCGCCTCGTGCAGGTTGAACAATCTGGTATGATCAACTAAACGAAACTCGGTCCCCTCTTCGCCCAACGACACAAAAACAAATTTACTCTTCCAGTCGTGAATGGACGAAGGAAGGTCAGTAAAGGACCTCATGTTCTTCACCTGCTGGAGGTTAGCATGGCCGGCACAGTTCTTATGGATGCCACGGTCTATCAGATACAGGTTCATGAACAGTGTCGTCGTCGGTGCGAAGTCCAACTCGGTGCAACGAAGCAGGAACCCGATGATCAACGAGTAACTGTTTGGGGTCAGCAAGACCGGAGGCCAATTTACATACTCTGTATTTGGCCCAATAGAGGCCTCATTGTAATTGGGTCTCCCAAACCCAAGACTTGGGAGCCCAACCCATATTTTCACTATAAATACTCCCCTTGGGGGTAGTTGTAAGGGGTTGACAAATACATTGATTGCATATTTATTGCACTTCTCTCTCTAGCTCTCACTTCTCTCTAAGAGTTAATACTCTATCAAGTGATTTTTTGAAGTGATTTTGGAAAAAGTGTTTAATAGTAAAAGTTGGTGGTATTGGAAAAAAAAGTGTTTTTGAAAAAGTAAAAGTGGGTAGTGTATGATAAAATGAGTGTTTTTTATGTAATAAAAAAAGTGAAAAACGATTTAAAGCATCTATTACTCTATCGGCTCATTTTATCCTAGACTTTAGATCATTTGAGATGATCTCAAATCAGGTTGTAATATCCAACACTTAACGTCTTAACCTATGCATACTAATAGACTTTAGATCATACGAATGTGATCTTTTAAGAATGAATCAAGGGGTATTGGATTTTAGATCTAATGGCCAAAGAGATCGTACCATTATATAAAGGTTTACCACAAATACTGCAGTATTTTTGTAATAAACTAAACTTTTTTGCCATCACAAATAGTGCATTATTCGAAACATAATAGTGTACGGTTTGAAACATTAACAATAGTACATCATTTTGCATTCTCATTTCTCACAAGTAGTTTCATTCATACCATGCACTTATTATTTTAATATATATGTGTGTGGCATGAGTCTGTTGTTATGCATATGTTTTAATCCTGCAATCTTTCCATTGTGTTGCAAGTAGGGGTGGATTCGGTTCGGGCCACCCGGCCCGTGACCCGTCCCGGCCCGCTACTGTGCGGGCCCGGGACCGGGTGTAGACCCGAACCGGTAGGGATGGGCGGGGCGGGCTCGGTTCCGGAAAAAGTTGACCCGGCCGGGTCGGGGGGCTCGGGTCCGGGTCCAACGGTCAATTTTAAAAAAAAAAATGTTGTGGCCAAAATAGCCGTTGGGGGGTGGGCTGGGGACAACCCAAACGGCTATATATCCGTTGGGTGGGGTGCAGGGGGGTCCGGGGGGTTTGGGGGTGGGGTGGGGGTGGGGGTAAAAAAACCTATAAATACTCCTAATCTTAAACATTTTTTCATATCTCTTCTCCAATTCTTCCTAAATCATATTCTTAACTCTCTACTCTCTAATTCTCTTATTCTCCAATATATTATATTTATTATTTATATATCTACTTTATATTAATTATCTACTTATAATTTATAAATACATACATTATAATATTATATTACTTATATTTGTTATCTAATTATATATTACTTATACATTTATTATACCTATTAATATAGTTGGAATTATATCTAATTAATTTGAAGTCATTCTATTACTCCCATCCGAAAGACCGAAAGTCCGAAAGAGGTACGAAATTATTCTATTATTTACACTTGTTTAATTCTGTAAATCCGAAAAATTAGTTGTAATTCTAATTATAGTTAAAGTGTATTAATTTCATTGTTAGTAAAAAAATAGGTTGTACACAAAACTAGTTAGTTCACTAGTTAATTTGATTAAAGTAAACTTTAAAATACTAATTTGCTATAACTCGAATTAATAGTTAGATTAATAGTTAATTACTTTATTACAATTTTTTATTAATTGCTACATTTGACTCTAGTTTAAAAAACTAGTTAATTCTCATTATAGTTAAAGTTAAAGTGTATTAATTTCATTGTTAGTAAAAAAATAGGTTGTACACAACTAGTTAATTCACTAGTTAATTTGATTAAAGTAAACTTTAAAATACGATTTCAACGGTGGAAGGGAAAAGAAAGAATGTTCCTGGTTTTGGCAAAGATGGCTAAGCAAGTGCTATCAATGCCGGTTTCAACGGTTGCCGTGGAACAAGAATTTAGTTCGACCGGTAATGTCCTAACGCAAACTAGAACGAGGTTGAGCGCAGAATCTCTTGAGATACTTATATGCTACCACGATTGGTTGAAAGCAGCCCGTAGAGCTCAAGAAATTGACATCACCCCATTCCAACACTTTATGGATGAATCTACAACCGAGGGTGACTCTACCTATGCCGGAGATTCCGATTGAATGATTGATTAGTATTTCATGTTTTAATTTTACCTTCAATTCTCAATTGTATAAAACTATAAAGTATAAAATATAAATTATAAAAACAAAAACAAAATTAACCGGCCCAGCCTGGCCCGGCGGGTGGCCCGGCCCGAACCAAACCCGTCCAACCCTCGGGCCGGTCCCGGGCCCATGTGATACAAACCGGCAGCCCGATCAGGCCCGACCCGGCCCGAGTCCATGACTAGTTGCAAGTCATGCTAGATAGATGACAGAGCAAGTCTTTTGGAGGATCCTGTAGATGGTGGCTTTGTTATTGATCATTTATCTGGCCATGCTTAAAACAGCGAGGATAGATTCATTTTTTGGATATAAACGGGAAGTTCTCTTTGTGAAAGCAATCCTTTTAAAGTCACCTGTGCTTGAGAAACTTGTTATCTGGCAATTCGTTGGAGGAGATGCCCATGTGGCTTGCAAACTCAGAAAGGAGATGCGCTGCTTCCCTCGTGCTTCTCCAAAAGTGCATATTGCCTTTAGTATATCGTATATGTAATGCCTCATTAGCGTAAAATGAGCATTGCTCATATATATACATGTTTTTGAAGATATGAGCTGCAACCACACAATGAACATCCAAAATTTTAAAAAAACACACAAGTATGCATATGTAAATTTTAATTATAAAACTTGATGAATTGTTTTGATATATGCACTGTAGAAACATCATGAATTATTAGTAGTGGCGTAGCACTGGCCTGCTGGGTAAGTTCAAAATTGATTGGGAAGATGAAGTGGTATTCTGTTTTCATGAACAATATAGAAATTTGAGCTTTCCAACCAAAATTATATTCAAACTGTTATTCAATGGAGAAAAATATATTAGCACAAGTTCAGGAAGAGATTATATTATTCAAACTCTCTTCTCCCCTTCCACATCCCCATAACACCATAATAAATTTGCAGCAATCCTCCTCTCCGAGGCCACAAATAAACACTTCCCCCACTCATAAATACAATCTGCAACCACCTGGAATGGCTGGAAGGCTGAAAACGAGCAAATTTTACTATCACGCACACAAAGCATCAATGCCACATGCACTACAAGTATCAGCAATTTCCACTCCTTTATCTCAATTTTGGGGGGGGGATTGCAAACCTCCACATGAGCTGCCAGAAAAAAAAAATAAAGTATGTTTTAACTACATAAGGAAGAGGTAATGCGTAAGAAGTTAAAATAGTCACGTTCAATAAAATCAGCCAATTCAGCTAAAAAAGATCCTAGAGTGAATTCTTTTTCTGAACTGATTGATTCTTTCTGGGGAAGCATGAACATGATTGATGCAGAATTATCTTGAGTATCTTGAAATGCTATTTTAATAACTTGTTGACACTATCAAATATAATGACAGACCATTTCCTGTCTGATTCCACCTCGAGTCCCTACAATTTCAACCTTAAGCAAGACAGGTTAAAATTGGTTCGACTTTTGGGGTCACCTTAGGTGTTGGAAAAATTTCGGGAGTAATAGGGAACTAGGATCAGGATTTTACTGGTGCTAATTCTAGACTGAAATTTCAAGATGGTTTCATGAATAGTTATCAATGGCTAGATATGGCGTGCACCATATGTGCCATCGCCATCAAAAAGTGGTCATTGACATAGCACCATATGCGCCATTCGTATGTGCGCATGACAACTATGGTTTCACGTAAAAAAACAAAAAGGACATTTACTTGTTCACTTGTTCCCATCTTAAAATAAACTAGATTTAAACAAACCAGACTAAGACCTAAAGTCAAACCAAGCGTAGACAATTGTAAAATACAGATTTACCATACATTTACCAAACCTAAACACATAAGACCATAAAATTTCAGTTCAACTGAAAAAACTGAATGTCCTCATCCATTTGCGGTCCAAGCCCAGACCATGTCCACCCTAAATGAAGATGGCATCATCTCTTCTTATTACTATAATATACATTCAAAAAAGCTCTTGATATGATAAAACTAAGAGATTACCAAATCCCTGAATGCTGAAAGGGTATATAGTGGCAATCGATACTCCAATGTGGCTTTCTACTCAATGTGTTCTAATAAAATTTACATAATAGGTTTTTACCTTGTGTGCGATAAAGGAATAAATGAAGTCCAAGAGCTGCTTGTAACAAAATAAACTTGTTTGTCCCGCTTCTCTAGCGTTTCTTCAATGCATTCATTCTATCCCTCAGATAGTATAGCTTGGCCCTCCTCACCTTCTTCTTGTCCAATACCTTTACTTCCTTTATATTTGGAGAGTACCTAAAATCACAAAATAGACAAATAATAAGGAATTAGTTAAAGGGTAAGTCACTTGTGACTTGTGAGAGCGTGTTACTGTGAGACAGTTTTTCTACTTTAAAAAATAACATACCGAAACATAAATCTAATGCATCTATTATTGCAATAGTTACTACTTATTACCGACTCTGTCCCAACATATTGTGTTTGGCCAATATACTTTTTTAGGATTATTAGCTAAATATATCCCCAACTATTATTAGATTCACAAATCTATCCTATTCTTTAACTTTTATAAAAGAAAGACTCAAACTTTAAATTTTCTCACAATTACACTTTCAATGGATGAATTAGTAATAGTTAAGAACATTTTATTTTTATTTCATAGTTTTTCATTTATTTATAGTTTTAAGTTGGGAAACAATTATTGCTTATATTTTCTTATGTACAAAATCTTTTTAACTTGTAATAAAACTACTATTACTTATATTTAATCAAATTTTGTTGCATGACATGTGAAAGATAACTACAAAGATGAAATTTTCACGTACAATTATATCATTTTCATTTACCCCAGTGCCGCAAAGGCTCCCACCTACGGTGGGGTAAGAGGGGGTCGGATGTACGCAGTCTTACCCCTATACTAAAGCACAGAGAGACTGTTTCCGGATGACCCATAGTGAAAATCCCGTCCAAAATTGCATGGACTGACTGCTGCTTCATAACAAAGAAGCGCAGACAGTTTAGTGAGTCATTTTGCTTTATTCCATCATAATCTCAAGCCAAAAAATAATGAATCTTTGGATCCATTGCAAATGATGGAAAATCACGCACAATTATATATGGGTTCAAAATTTTCTGAAGTAACAAATGAATTTTATTAAACAATAATTATTATTTATTTATTAGTGTTTAAATTACTTCAGTAACTTCTATAAAAAAGCGTTAATATATCAGCTAGTTAATTTAGAGGTTAGTTAGAGTATCATTATATATTTGTTTTGAGATTTTGTTAGAAAATTTTAAATGATAGAATTAAGTTCTTGTTAATTTTTGTAAGATTTGATTTAAGTTCTTGTTAATTCATTCAGAAATGAGAGAATTAACAATAAATAAAATTATGCAATTTAATACAAGTATATAAAAAGTATTGATATAACTTTGTTAGTTTTAAAAAACAATATAGAAAAGCATAATTGTTCAAAAAAATGAAGTTTGAGTCTTTATTTGATAAAAATTAAAGAATAGGATAGATTTATGGATTTGGTAAAAGTTTTGGATGTAATAAGCTAGTAACCCATTTTTTTATTTTGGTCACAGACAACCATCATAATCATACTATCTTTTTGAAATATATTTGTTGATTTAACTAAATGCATCATATGTAACTTCGTTTTTACTCCTCTTTGGCAATGTTTGAGAGATTAAATGAAAATTAGATCCATTTGAACCAAAAGGACCATATTTTGGGACAAGTGTTTGAAAGATGAATGTTTATTACTGTCTATGACTAAAAAAAATCTTTTATTCATATTTCAAAGTGATTCCCATTACCCAAAAAGATCGATCTCAAACATTACTGTCGTCTAAAATATGTCATGTTTGATAAAACATTCCTTACTTTTCCTCTAAGTTGTCATTAAAAATTCAAATAAATTACATATAATAACTGTGGTGAATTCAACTAATAAATTTAGAAGTATACGTGGAAGTAATTATTTATTGCGGTTATACCTTGATCAAATAATTTTTTCCTAGAGTTGTACTTCTATCTCACCATGAGATTGTCCTATACAAGGTTTTGTCATTTTGTGTTAGCTAAAAACTCACAAAAGACGTCATGCATACTCATCAGTCATTACTAACTGTTCAACACTACAAATTAAGATTTGAAATACGAAACTGGATTAGAGAGTATATTAGCCAAGAACTGATTTTAGATTTTCAGGAAACCACATATATCAATTTTTACATACAAAGCATGCAGCATCTCAAGCAGCTTACCACAACTTAGTTCCCAAAGTATGGAAATAACAGTAAAGATTATTTGATACCATTATGATATGAAGTATGAGAAACAATGTTCAGATCTGCTTGCAATTTTGATGGACCACTGTGTGTGTATTTATGAATAAAAAAGAGCCGAGTACAGACTCACAGGTGATAGAGGGATTCAACGCCAACACCAGCAACAAGTCTCCTTATTCTGAATGTAGTATTCAAACCAGCATTGCGCCTCGCTATTACTGTTCCTTTGATTATTGAAAGACGCCTCTTATTTTCGGGTACTTCCTGATATACAAGCACAAGTATACCAAATGTATTGACTGTGGTTCTTTTAAGAGCATTAAAATAATGTACAAAAGATAATCTTCATTTTTTTATCATAATTTATTGGATAAAGAAATGAATAGGTAAAAATAAGTTTCTAAAAATGACACCGTTTACCACTTTGAGCTGCAAAGTATAGCCAGGCCTTATATCAGGTATCTCTCTTTGAGTCTTCACTTCTTCAACTGCTTCTTTGTCCAAAATCTGCAACGCCAAGGGTCCAAATACACCATCCAGAGATGAAGATATTCGTAGATTTTATTTAGATAACATATTGAGGGGGGTAAAAGTAAGAAAAGATGAAAGTAGATAACCCCATCACATGATTGGTTAACAATTCAGTACCTGCATTATGTGTTTTGCTGTCTTATCGAGCCTCTTAAATTTGATACGTGGAGTTGCTTCACACTCAGGACTTGAAGCATCTCGGGAAACAGTATGCCCTGAGGTTGCCATGGTTGCAATTAACCTACTAGGAAAAATAGGCCGCCTTGTGGATAGTTGTGAAAAGCAGAAACTATGAGCCCTATAATAAGATGGCAATGCAGCGATGCCATTTTTCGTAGTGTTCATAGGAAGCTCTTCTTTGGTTCCAAGGTTTTGCTGAAAGTGTTCAGTTTTAAGAAAAGAGTTATTGCACAGAAGGCCAGAACCACAATATAACACAACAATGACCAAGGACGGCTATCTAGAAACTATGGTAACTGAAGATAATTGTGGGCATTTCTTGGTAGTAATTTCACATGTTTGCTCCACAACTCAGCAAAGGAATTCACTAAAGGTGTTTTTGGATCTAACTATTAAAACTGCTTCTGCTCCTTCAAAGAGAAAAAGCACATTGACGAGTGTTTTGGGTGAAACTGTAGAAGCACTGAGAATTGCTTCTGACTGCTTCCCAAAAGCAGTTTTTGAGAAGCTAGGGCAGACCAGTTTCTATTTAAAAAATGATTCTTCTGGTTGACTATTAAGTGTAAGCATATAATTAAAGTGTAAAGCATAAGCATAAATATCCATGTCATTTTCATTTCATTTTCATTTACCCCAGTGCCGCAAAGGCTCCCACCTACGGTGGGGTAAGGGGGGGTCGGATGTACGCAGTCTTACCCCTGTGCTAAAGCACAAAGAGACTGTTTCCGGATGACCCATAGTGAAAATCGCGTCCAAAATTGCATGGACTGACCGCTGCTCCATAACAAAGAAGCGCAGACAGTTTAGTGAATCATTTTTCTTTATTCCATCATAATCTCAAGCCAAAAAATCATGAATCTTTGGCTCCATTGCAAATGATGGAAATATAAATATCCATGTGAATATTAAAAATAAGTGTAAATATAAATGTGTTTGGGTTTTCACTAGCATTTAGTTGTGTTCAAATGGATAAGTATGGTGAGATTATATTTGTGAGTATCTACCTTTGATTGATTAAACATTTCAAGTTCCTAAAAGAATAAGAATGTTATAAAATAACTAGTTATTGTTTCTACATAAACTCAATATTCAAATTCGGATATGTAAGCAGTAAGCTACATTATTTGGAATATTATTTTCACATCATTTCTTAATAATCAATAAGAGATGAGGATTTAGTAGTGTAACTTTACTTTCTTGTAGATTAGGTCTTGTAACTAATTGCTTTGTAGGCTTAAAAAATTGCCAGAGTAAAATATAAATATTCCCTCCATGTGACACCCCAGGCTCTCTGCTGCCGTCGCATTGCCACAGTAGGCAAGTAGGATTAACCTCAGGTTACCCCACAATATTCTATGATTCTATCTCGTTCATATTTAAGCACAACTCTATGGGTTATGGCCTTATGGGTAGCACTTGTCATATGCTTTTAAAGAGAAGTCTAATGCTTTGGACGTAAAAAAAATGTTTGTGCTCCAGAGTTGTAGAAAAGAATCAATATTATTGCAAGGAAAATGAAATATACAGAGTATAAAACAAGAAGAAAGAAACAAGTGTTACTTGATATTCAGGTGATACTGCATTCACCCACGCAAACATCATGGCCATAGATTTATATTCTAATTCTAAACTCATATATATGTGCAGGTTAGTCACTGGCTTTAGCATTAGATAACCAAATCCTCTTTTCGAAAATTCCATCTTGTATTAAGATTTTAAAACTACACCTCAACTCCTAAGTGCAATAATTTGGATGCATAAAAAAGTGGATATGATTTTCAGGGGCGGCCCTGGGGGGCGGGGGCCCTAGGCCCAAGAAAAATGAAAAAAAATTAGGCCCAACTTTAGCTCTTTATAATAGCTGGAAGTAGGCTGATTTTTCAGCCCTATACTAATAATTTTTTGAGGTGCTTCCGGGTGGATTTGTTTGATGAAAATTTATTAGCATGTTCTCTATGAAGTTTATATTATGTCCAAAATATTTCAGTTTAAAATTCAATCTAGAAGTCAGTTAAATAAATTATTGAAAAACACTGCGCTTTTTATGCATATTTTGGAGCAGTGTTTTTCAATATTTTATTTAGCTAACTTCCCGATTGATTTTTAAGCTGAAATTTTGTGTGCATAATCTAAACTTGATTAAAATCATGCTCACAAAATTTCATTAAAAATTCTACTTGGAAGCACATTAGTATGATATTTTTATTTGATTAGTATATTAATTGATTTCATTCATAGTTGATTGTTTGATTTCTTAATTGTTGATTGTTATCTATTGAGTGTTGGTGTTATAATTTGTTGATTTTGTTAGTCCAAAATTTTAAATTATACTCCCTCCGTCCCAATTTGATTTGCAAAATTTCCTTTTTTGGTTGTCCCAAAATGGTTTTCCACTTTCAATTTTAGGTATATAAATAAGAATAAAGTGACAAATTTACCCTTACTTTTACTTTTTCTCCATTAACTTAAAGGCATCTACTTTTAGAAAGATGGGCAAAAGTGTAAAAAGCAAGCATCATTTATTGTCATTTCTTAATCCTTGTGCCGGTCAAAGTTTGCAATTCAATTCGGGACGGAGGGAGTAATTAAGTTTATAAATTTAATTAATTTTAAGGTGTAATAAAAATGATTGGATTTGGATAAGATAAAAAAGAGAGGAAAAAATTAGATAAAGCGACGCTAAGTAAAAAAGGTTCAATGGAAAATTTTGTTTGTGTAAAGAAGTCCAATTCTGAACATCCTCCTTAAGATGAAAATTCAGAGAAGAAGAATGATTTAGCTACCGAAAATGAAAAATCAGAATCTTCACATCATTGGAGGGGGAGATTTAGGAGTTCATAATAATTGATTTAATTCCTTTAATACGACTAAAACATTGGTAAAGTGCACAAATAGGACCACCATTGTTTCCTTCCTAAATAAGGATCACTAATACAATAATATTATTGATTTAGACAAAAGAAAGTTTTATAGTTTTTACAAATGTCTTAAATATTATTATTATAATTATGCATGTTAATTTAGACAAAAAGGGTTTTACAATTTTTTTGAAATTAGGCCTATTTTAATTTTCGCCCCTAGGCCTTCAAACATATAGGACCGACCCTGATGATTTTCCACCCTTGTCAACTAAAACCAGTGTTAATATAAAATGAAAGCATGTCGTGTATAACAATTACAAAGAAGAATGAAGCTGGGCGTTTTACAAAGTTGCTTCATTAGAGTCAAAGTGAGTAAGTGGCGGATGAAACATAGGTGCAACCTGTGTATAGTTGAGAGGGTTCTTTTGCAACTCAGTCATAACCAATTCAATATCTTTCTTAGAATCTCGCAACAGCTGAGCCTTTGCCTTCTCTTCCAGAATTAAATATTTGCTTTCCTGCTCAGGACCTAGTCGTTGTACAGAAAATACTGAGCAACTTAATTCCAATTGGGGCAAGCACACTCATGAAGAAGAGTTCGAGGCTTTACCAGAATTTAACTCGTGAATATTCCGGCTTGTCTTGACAGATGTAGAATTGGTTCCTCCACAAAGACCTTTGTCTGAAGAAATAGTAATGATGACATTCTTCTTCACATCCACACCTATTTTAGCAACAAAAAAGGGATAACAGAGGTTAACAGACAGATGGTCTGGCACTTAGAAAATAGGCCATTAAGACAGATGTAAAGCCAAGTGGCAAGCAGTTTAAGTAAATTACACCAAATAATTTGGATTAAGTTTTAGAGATAACTTTTAAAAACTTCTGTAATGATTGAGTTGACAAAACAAAAGTTGCATCGTACTTGATTCAGATTTTTTTTGGGGGGTGGGGGGGGTGGGGGGATACTGAACATAATAAGGAGAAAAGAACACATAGTCAGCTCAACTATATCATATGCCTGTAACATATTTGATTATAACCTTATAGAGGTTAGTAGGTAACACATTCCTAACCACCTTATATTATATTTGGTGTCTCTCAGGTGACACAAAAATTAACAGCTATTTGACTCTTAGCTTTCTGTTATCACTATAACCAGCTAACCAATAGGCATTACTGAAAGTATCCTTTCTAACAAATAGAATGGAACACATAACAGGTAAAAGCCCTTTAAGTATTTGTGGATAAAGAGAAGCAACGAGAAAATAATGTTTAGTCGTGTTTTATGATGTGCACATTGAATTCAAGGTATCAATTCTACATTTGTCCATGGCAACTATCTAAACTCACCATCATGATATTTTACATGCACATAGATAAACCTAAATTGATGACAATTTTGGAGTTTCATCTCATTATTAAAATAGAAATTACAAAAGGAAGGGAATCTGATATTTAACTTTACCACCAAGTTTTTTTGCATTACTTTATCGTGTTATAATTAACTTTATACAATTATATGCAAGGTTATAAATTGCTTGAACCAGCCTAGGGGTCTCTTGCTTCAAGCCTTCAACCTCAAGAGCCATATGTCCCCAGGCCTGAGCTGACTAAGCAGTTCATAATAACACATAAGTGTGCATGAAGTTCCGAATTTGATGAAATTAACCAAAACACTTGTGTTTTAAAGTCAACTAATCAACAACACATAAAACAGGCCACAAACATAATACAAAGCCTTAATCCATTCAAGGGATCCAAACAAATGAGCTCAAAACTAAAAGACCTCCATTGATCCATTCTTACAGTCATCCCCATCTTTGGTATCCTCCAAAGGAATATCACATCTTATATGTCCATCTTCTTTATACTCGCTGAAATTCCTAATAACAGAACGAGGGGTTGTTCCAGGCTTGAAGACGTGTGTAAAAAAGTGCAAGTTAAAATTGCCTAGGATTCTTAATTAATCACAGTTGGACTAGAAAATTTTATAGATAGTAAGCTGGATATTTAGTTAAATAATTTGTTTGTTTTTTATTATTTGATGTTTCGGGATATAGCACAAAAATTATTAAACAATGTATTAGTTAATGTAAATATAAAAGTGTCCATAAAATCTTTTCGGATTAAAGCTTGGATGTTGTTGTTGTATTGGTAGTGTCAATAAATTAGTACAAAGTAGGTGTTGGCAAATTGAGACGGTCAAATAAAATTTTGGACACTATCTAACTTTCATCCCCATTTTTGGTATCCTCCAAAGAATATCACATCTTATACGTCAATCCTCTTTATACTCACTCAAACTCCTAATTACATAACGAGGTTGTTCCAGGCTTCAAGATATGTGCAAAAAATGGAAGTTGAAATTACTTGGGATTCTTTATCATTTTGGATTAAAAACTCTAGATATTCAGTTTAATAATATTCAGATTATTATTTGATGTTTTAGGATATAGCAAAAGAATTACAAAACAGTGCATTAAAAAATGTCAACATTGGAAGTGTCAGTGAGTTAGTGCAAGGTAGGTGTTGGCAACATGAGACAGTCAAATAAAAAACTAAAAGGTAGGTGTTGGCAACATGAGACAGTAAAATAAAAAACTAAAAGGTTCACTATCTAAGTTTCTATAAAATCAAGTAAAATAATAAATGCAAAATGTTAAACATCAATAAATACAAAACAGTTGATGTACTCAATTTGGACTATGGATACTCTAACTATACAATGGGGCATTCAGTGTTTGCTCTGGGAGTTTTGAGATCTAAAACAATCACAACCGAAGCATTTTGGGATCTGAACAAACGTCACGCCAAACATAAATCCATAAACCTTCATTTCATTACGTAGTTCCGTTGATGGAGTTGTGGACAATCTCCACCCTAAATTAACGCTGTTCATCGGAAATAATTTTCCAGCTGAACTTCATTATTCATTGGCAGTCCACCACACGTCCACTCCACCACAAGACCACACGCACAAAAGGACTGTAACACAATGTTAGGGATTGGGCCTAATGGACTGTTAGGAATTGGGCCTGATAAACCAAGAATAATAATAAGTGTATTAGTTAGTATAAATAGACTAAACTGAGGAGAATTCGGGGAGGCTGTCTGAGACTTTGTCATTTTGGGACTTGGGAAGATCGAGAGCTATTCTCTTTCTTTTGGGGGCTTTGGCTCATTGGGGGCTTCGGCCATAACTGCTTGTTCGCTACTGTAATTGTCTATCATCATCAAATAAGTGCTCACTGGTTCTTGTTAATATTTCTGAACTTGTTCTGGATATCTGGAGCTATCTAACATTGGTATCAGAGAGACTCGATCGCTGGATGAGATTCACGCGCGCGAAGATGGAAGGCAGAATCAACGAATTGGAAGAAAGGACGGAGAGAAATATGCAGGAGATGCAGAATACTTTGGTGGAGAGAATGGCGGCAATGCAGGCAGCGATGCAAGCTGACATCGCGAAGCTACAGATCGATCGAACAAGGAGTTCGAGGAGTCGATCGCATCGTTCAAGTACGTCTCATCGCTCGAATAGACACAGACGATCGAGGAATGATGAAAGCTCAGAAAGCAACGATAGTCATTCTGATCATTCTGTATCGAGACATAATCATCATCGAAGACAGAGAAATCATCACCAAGCTGGACGGAAGATTGATCTGCCTATTTTTAATGGAAAAGACGCCTGTGGCTGGTTACTGAGGATGAACCATTACTTCAGGTTGAACAGAACTGAGGAAGTGGATAAGATTGATGTAGCTGTGATAGCCATGGAGGATCAAGCACTCAGCTGGTTCCAGTGGTGGGAAGGACAAGCATTGCAGCAGAATTGGAATACTTTTACTCAAGCTTTGACCAAGCAATTTCAACCTGATCTGGTACAGGATCCGCTAGGGCCTCTGTTTAACCTGAAGCAGAAGGGGACAATTCAGGAGTACCGAGACAAATTTGAAACTGCTATCGCTTCACAAGGCCACTTAACTGAAGAGGTCTTGAGAGGAGTCTTTCTTAAGGGATTGAAAAGAGATATAAGAGCAGAATTGAAGTTGCATCGTACTAGAACGTTGGCAGAAGTTATGGATACTGCTTCCGCGATTGAGAACAAGAATTCTGAAACCTTGTTTGTGAAGAATAAGGAGGAAGGAAAGAGGAAAGGGCAAAACAAACCTATAATCCAGTTTTCAGGCCAGAAATGGGGAGATGAAAGCAGGTGGAAAAGCCATCCTTACACTTCTGCTAGTATGGACAATTTTTCAGTAGATCATAAGAGCAATGAAGATAATAAGGGCTGGAATTTCAGAAAGGAAGGCCCCAGTTGTGTGTCTAAGAATACAAGTCCCAGGTTATCCCAAGAAGAACTAATGGACAGAAGCAAGAAAGGACTGTTTTAAATGTGGTGAAAACTGGAATCGGGGTCACGTTTGTAGAATGAAAAATTTTAAGATGATGCTAGTAGAACAATCCGAAGGGGAGGAGGAATCTGATACTAACTGTAATAGAAATAAGGGAGAAGAAGGAATACATATGGAAGTTAAGACTATGCAATTATCTGTACTGAACAAAGAAGGAACACCACCCATGAGAACATTCAAGGTTCTGGGAGATCTGAAATGGCTGACTGAGGAAAAGAAGGTGAATATTTTAATTGATAGTGGTGCTACCCACAACTTTATTTCCCAGCAACTGGTAGAAAGATGGAAGATACCTTTCCAAAGTATCAAGGCATATATGGTACAAATAGGCAATGGAGAATTGATTCCTAACTGCGGTAGATGTGAAGGAATGAAGCTGAATGTACAGGGAAATGAAATTCAACAGAATTTTTATATGTTGGAGCTTGGTGGGACTGACATGGTGCTAGGATTGGAATGGTTGACTGATCTAGGTGTTATGGAAGTTAATTTCCAAAACCAGATCATAAAATGGAAGAAACAATGGCTGAATCATGTTATTCAAGGTGATGGGTATTGGTTGTACTGTGAAGGACAAAGCACAAAGCAGAAGCAAGAACAGATAATTGAAGGCAGAAGGAACGAGCTTATAAAGGAGTACCCTGAAGTTTTCAAGTCAATTCTGGATAAAATGTCATGGCAGTTGTGTAATTCTGCTGTGAAATACATAGGAAAAAAGATGGAATCAGCCAAGCTAAGGGTCCAGAAATCATGCCAGTATTGGAAAGGAAGAAGTGCTAGGATGAAAGAAAAGATAAAGATTGGGGCTGTGTCCTATCACCCACCTTGAGGGCAAGGTGGCTGTTTAGGGGGGGAGTATTGTTAGGGATTGGGCCTAATGGACTGTTAGGAATTGGGCCTAATAAACCAAGAATAATAATAAGTGTATTAGTTAGTATAAATAGACTAAATTGGGGAGAAGTCGGGGAGGCTGTCTGAGACTTTGTCATTTTCGGACTTGGGAAGATCGAGAGTTATTCTCTTTCTTTTGGGGGGCTTCAGCCATAACTGCTTGTTCGCTACTGTAAGGATGTTTTTACTTGGACTGTAATTTGATCTGCTCTGGTCTGGTCTGATCTGATCTGAACTGGACTGGACTGGTCTGGTCTCTTTGTATTTTTATAACTATCCAAGTCTGGTCTGGTCTGATCTGGTCTGAGACGAATTACAGTCCAAGTAAAAACATCCTAATTGTCCATCATCATCAAATAAGTGCTCACTGGTTCTTGTTAATATTTCTGAAATTGTTCTGGATATCTGGAGTTATCTAACACACAATAGTGAGCACACATCACAGACCACCACTCATTCAACACTGCAATACACACGATCTCCATCTTTGACAATCCAGTAAATCACAAACATCTCATCACCTTAAACAAAACTATGTATCCCCTCTTTTAATGGCAAGTACGACCATCTAACTTGGTTACACCTGTGTGAACTCTACTTTTAATACTTTTGCAGTGACCATACTCCATTACATGATACAGACAACCTCCAAATCATAGACATCTCATCCACTTGAACAAAACTAGATTTCTACCCTTTCAATGCCTCAAAGAGAAGTTATATCATGAATCATCTAACTTGGTTACACCATTGTGAAGTCAACTTTTGCTGCTTTTGCAGATATCACACTCCAATATTGAGAGTGTTGGCTTGGCAGTCTTATTATGACGGAGAAGCCCAACTTTGGCAAGGCCAATTGATGCAAGAAATCCCATTAGTCATGCATTATCTTAAAAGAAAATTGCAACCACTGTTTTGGATTTTCGTGGCAGTGTGGCACAACTATGGTACTCCACACATTTAAAAGTTAATGTGCAAACCCTAAAAATCCATGGAGTTTCCTTTGTTGATTTCCTTGAAGAAAGAGAATGACAGCACCTCCTGCTATAATAGATCCCTTGGTGGATCATTCTTGCACGGTGCTTGGGGAGTTGAGCCACAAAAGCAGGAGAAAAACAGTGTATTTTAAGTGACAATGCAGATCAATGCAATATAGTGCATTTACTCTATGATTACAACTCAGATGCTTATTAAGACCAAGATTTAATTGACAGTATCACATGCTACCTAACCAAGCATAGTTACGCTTAAGGTGATGATGATGATCATCATCATCATCATTACCCCAATGCCGCAAAGGCTCCCACCTTGATAGGGATCGACCTATTAGACTAATAAATAGAAGAGTTCGTTGTTAGTTATACTTCTGTTATTAGAGTAGGTTGTACTGGAAGGCTATAAATAGAATAGTATGGGAAGGAGAGGGGAGGCTGTTTTAGACTTTGTCTTGGGACTGGGAAGATTGAGATTACTCTCTCTCTTTGGGGGCTTCGGCCATTGTTGCCTATTCAATAAAAGTGTGCAGTTGTGTTCTTGATCAATTCTGTGAATTGCTTGTAGAATTGTATTGTTCTAAGATTGGTATCAGAGAACGTTAATTCCTGGAGACGGAGAATCGGAATCATGGAGGATTTCTACATGACACCGCAAATGGAAAAGAGAATGGACAATCTGAATCGACAGATGAAGGAGACAAACGCTAGGTTGGAAAGCATTTTACGTGACTGTGAGCATCTAAATCAGGGCTTGCACCGATCGAAGAACACCGGGCATCATCGGCAATCTGACAAACAGAGTTCGTCGCTCACCAGTTCGCAGAAGGAATGGCGAACTGTTTCTGCTGTTTCGCACTCACGAAAGGCTTCGCGCGGAAAAATGGGGAAGATCGCGGAAAAGGTGGAGCGCGGAAAAATGGCGAAGGAGAAGCATACGAAGAACAAAGAAAAGGTATAAAGGGATGGGGCGAAGGAAAGGATGACCGGATTGGTTGAGTTGCGCACCATGCCGCAGCCACAACCTCGTCGGCGAGGAAGATCGAGGAAGGTACATCGCTGCATAAATTCGAAAAGCCAAGGTTCATTGCAGTTGCCAAATTCTTCGGTCTTCTGGCTTCCACACGAGCAGAAGTTCCTACTTCGCAGGTTTCTTCACTCGTCGGATCTCACATCTCATCATCGCTTATACCTTCAGTTAAGGAAACAGACATTGAAGAGGAGGTTAATCAACCTACGGAAATTTCATCAGACAAAATGGGAGGTTCAGAAATACTTAAACCAGATATACTTACTTATGATGATATGAGCTATGTGCCTATGCTAATGTATTAAATTTGAAACCCTTGATTGATTTCGTTCCTGAACTTGGATTGGGAGTTCCAATAAAGGGGCTGAACCCGATTGATGGTTTCCTAATTGATTGTGTTACCTCTATTAAGAACATTCAAGATAGATCGGGAGTAGGAATTACTGGAAATTGGAAGAAAAAGGTTGGTAATATTACCGAGGGTTACGCTAACAGATTCCAGATGTCTGACCATGAAATCAACCCTGCTATCTTCCAAGTGGCCTTGATAAGTGGTGAACATGTAAGGATAATGCCATCAGTTTGTATATCACTTCAAGAAGGAAATGTAAGCTTGGAGTCTTGGACTATCGGTTTGATGATCCTGCTGTGACAAATTCGTATTCTGTGGCTAGAAGCTCATCTGCTAGGTCCCTTGTACTCGTAAGTGGCATTTACAGGGACTTTGTCAGCTCTTATCTTGATTCTTCCATCTTCCAGCATCAGCAACAAGGATTGAATGATTTTAGTTCTTTAAATATGTTGACTGTTGGGAGAGAGGGTGTTATTGAAGTTCATTCAAACATCTGGGTGTTAGAATCTGGTGTTGAGAACATGAATTATTATTCATTGATCATCTATCAGGACCTGTTGATGTCAACTACACTTTTTAAGGACGACTTGATAAATTTTTTTACTCATGTTGTCTTGAGACTGAATCCAAATGTTTTTTCTTCTGGCCTGAGCTCTTGGTCCTGTTTTCGTAAAGGAAATGATACATCTAATAACTCAGGAGGGTGGCATGTTGAGAGGGCATACCACGTTGTCCACGTGAGAGGGTACTGCTATGTGCTAGTGGACAGTGATCAATGCATCTCAAGAGTTTCAATCGCACTGACCAAGTTAGGGGAAGACGTTGATCTGGAAAGAAACAGATCAAAGTGTGATGGTCCACTCAAGGAAATTGAGGAGGAAAATCTCTGAGAATTGATAAACAACCAGGGAGATACGGGGGAGGTTTCGACTGCCGGTTTTATAGGGCTATAAACTGTGAGTACATTATGATTCTCAACAAACCTACTGGAAGATCTTATGATGAATCAACTAAGTCTCCTTTGTCTCCTTGGGTTCTGGCTGATTGTTCATCAGAATATCTGGATTTGATAAAGTCGTTTACTTACTTGGTTCTTGCAAAACCAATTGGAGCATTAAGACCAAAACAAGATGGAGAGTCAATAAGTGATGTTGTGTTTCTTCAACGGGTTAATGATTTATTTGAAGAATTCATAAGTAAGCACAGGGAGTATTCCGCCACCAGGATTATGCTTCTGCTCCTACTAACAGTGAAGAACAGGAAAATGAAGTTTCAAGTACTGAAGCTACAAATCCAGGATTCAGTGAGGTATTGGGAAGGAAGGGGCATAAGAATGAAGATGAAGCTGAAAGTTGCGGCTGTTTCCTATCAACCACCTTGAGGGCAAGGTGGATGTTTAGGGAGGGAGTATTGATAGGGATCGACCTATTAGACTAATAAATAGAAGAGTTAGTTGTTAGTTATATTTCTGTTATTAACTAATAATAACTAGAGTAGGTTGTACTGGAAGGCTATAGATAGAATAGTATGGGAAGGAGAGGGGAGGCTGTTTTAGACTTTGTCTTGGGACTGGGAAGATTGAGATTACTCTCTCTCTCTCTTTGGGGGCTTCGGCCATTGTTGCCTATTCAATAAAAGTGTGCAGTTGTGTTCTTGATCAATTCTGTGAATTGCTTGTAGAATTGTATTGTTCTAACACACCTACAGTGGGGTAAGGGGGGTCAGATGTACGCAACTTTACTCCTTCACTACAGCACAAAGAGTGCAGACAGTTCCATCAGTCATTTTGCTTTATTCCATCATATTCTCAAGCCAAAGGTAATGCTGATAGAAAATTAACTCCCAGGCTTGAAAAGCCATTTTACGGTTTTCCCAAAATGCCATTTAATGGCAATGTTATATAGAGAGCATAGATTTTAAGAGCACGAGGAACAACAAGTCACAAAGGGGATGCATGAGGCGCATTTTATGAGCACGCGCCTCTTAAGCATGAGGCAATAAAATAATGAAAATACATGAGACGCATCACGTAATCCAAGAACGTCTTTTTTTTTAGAAATATTTTAAGTTGGGGGTAAGTGTGGTGTGTCCGCCACATGTACATAAGGCGCTGAATTGCACCCAGACGCACACATCAGATACAGCAATCACATCGTGAGAGAAAATACACATTACTCTGCACCTCCAGCCCTGCACCTCAAGTGTTTCACAACCATGACAAAAGTTGCCCGAGGATAGAGATACAGGCTCCCAATTCACTAAATCCACCTCTCTGAAATTAGGTTTATCAAATTAACAACATGATTGAAATTAAATCCACACACTTACTAGGAGTGCCACCAAGAAGCGCAGTAGGCTGCCAAAGGCCGCGTGAATTATCATTTCTACCCTGTACAGGTCGAAGCTTTGAAGCTGCAACCATCTTCATTTCTTTTATGATTTTCTGAATGTTTTTAACACTCTTCAACTGATTCCTCACTGTAATGATCCATTGTCAAAATAAACAGTTCTTCCATGAAAAGGGCATTTGGAGGATACTGGACTAAGCAAGGAAAACTAGAAAGCAGACAAGTAAAAAGTAAAGGTCAGTCTTACCAACTTGAGTGCATATATAGTCTACTCCCCTTGAAGACGTCTCCCTGCACATTGCACAAATCTTCAACGGAAAATAAAAAAAACTTGCAGAATAACAGATACAGTAATATGAACTTTTGGATAACTCAGTTAACAGTAGTTAAGTGAAAACGCTCGGATTATGGTTCACATGTCTGATTTATTATTCATTCTTCATAGTAAGTGATCATTGCCGAAACCCAGCATATTTGGAAAGCTTATATACACCAGGCTGCCCTTTACTTTTTCATAGTCATATAGAAGAATACCATCAAAATGGGGTAAAAGAACCAAAGATGAATCTCATTATCTCAACAAATAGGTACAAAATAAATAATGCGATAGAATGGATTTCCTTCTTGAGGACCACAGATTTTTCCGCACCCATCCACCTCAGTGCCAACTGTAGTATCGTATGCCGTAATGATTATACAAGTTGCCAATTAAAATCACCAGCAGATGGTTTGTGTATGTCCTCCCTTTGGAACCCAAATGAAAAATGAGAACAATGCATAATAGAAATAGGTCTCTGCTGTGTAACTAGGCAAATTTTGAGGAGTGGCTGCCAATTTCAGCCACCCCCAGATCTCTCAGAAACCAGAAACATGTTTGATCAAGATGCGTCATACCATTACCCGAATACATTTCTAAAGCACACCATAATCCCACCTGTCATATTTAACCTTTTAAAGGACATCACTAGAAATGATGAATTTTATGGCACTAATTAGCATATATGAGCGTTGAAAAGAGACGAGAATATCGAGTTACAGCAGTTTCATTTCAAAACTAAGACATAACAAATCCGCCAAATTGTGTTCAAGATCCTAACTTTTCACGTTGCATTAAAATGACAACCAACCCACTAAAGCATATTAGAACTTTCAACAAACCAACCAATTTATTTAATTCGCACACTTGAACTAGGATACAACGAGAAAGAAATTGGAAACAAATGGGTACAAAGCATACTCGGAATGAGAGACAAGAGATGGTCGGTACGCAATGAGAGTGTTGGTAGAAGAGAACGGAGCGGCGCCCAAACGCCTCCCTTCACGTATCAGCGCAGCCATCGCCATCCTCTACTGGACTGGTGAGAACCTAGCTGCGGTTTTCCTTTTCCTTTTTTGGTCAAGAGCTGCGGTTTTCTTTAACGGGCTAAAAATGTGTAAAGCCGTTGGTTTGTAATTTTCTAGTCCGGTCTGGTCTTATCTGGTTTCTTTGTATTTTTATAACTATCCAAGTCTGGTCTGGTCTGCTCTGATTTTTTTGTATTTTTATAACTATCCAAGTCTGGTCTGGTCTGATCTGGTCTGATCTGGTCTGGGAGGAATTACAGTTAAAAACATCCTAACAATTGATTATAAAAAGACTTATATTGATGAGATCTTTCAAACTTTGAGTTTTCTTTATGCTTCATTTATTCTTGTGGAACTTCGCGTTCTAGATGAATTACATTTGTTTCATTTATTTATTTAATTGTTTCTTATCATATTCTATAGAGGAAATTATTCACACTAGGACCAAAACATAGCATTTCCCTCAAAGTATGATCATATGTTTGATTTTCCTTAAATAGGACCAAATATTACATTTATATCCCTAATTTATTTAATTAATATAATTAATTGTCCCTAGTTCCCTTGCATAACCAAAGTCGTTTTATTGGTGGTGGAGCAGTCTGATGACTACGGCGGCGAGCTCCGGTGAGGGAGGTGGATAGGAAGATCGGTAGCGGTGATCCAGGTGAAAATTCTGACGACCCAACAGTTGAGGTCTGGGTTTAAAAGTTTAGGGAAATTACCTTAAATAGGAGTAAATGGGGTTTGAAATTCCAAAATATGACTACTATGTTTTTCTTCCCGAAATAGGAGTTATTACTGTCATGTATGAAAAATACTATCACGATTGAAAATTACTGTCATTAATTATAATAAATACTGTCATATAAAATGTACTGTACTACAACTATTTGACAGTCACGCCTACAAGTTAACAGTAAATACCGAAAGTCTATACACTTATATATGGATTTAAAAGTCAATAGAATTCATTCATAAAAAGTCTATGGGTTTAAAAAGTTCATTGGCTTTTTAAAATGTTCATGGATTAAAAAAAAGTTCGTCACAATCCATATTCAATACACCCCTCTTAGTATCCGTGCAATGCACGGGTATGTCTAATGTAACACCCCAAAATTCGGTCTAGTAGTTAAAATACATATAAATAAATTACTTTGTCAAAATTAATATTTTCTCCTACTTCGTATAAATTATAAAATATAATTTTATTAAAAAGTATTAATAATAAACTAATAGAAAAAGTAGTACATACTCTAACACTATTCTAAGACATTTGAACTATACTCCCTTCGTTCCTAAATAAAAGCATTTGTTTCCTTTTCGGGCCGTCCCTAAATAAAAGTTCCCTTTCCTTTTTTGGCAAACAAAACAGTGCAAAACAGTGCCAAACAGTGTCCAAACAGTGCCAAACAATACCAACCAAACTCACTTTCTTAAGATGTGTGTAAAATGAATGGATACTTTTATATAGGGACGGAGGGAGTACTAGAGAGAAACAATACGTGTCTCAATTATCAAATGAAGTTTCTTACTGTGAAATTTGAATAATTCTAAAATAAATTATAATAATCAAATGTCTTCAATTAATGAGGAATGGACGATCACCTAAGGTCAATTCATGTACTCCATAATAAATCTTACGCCTGCAATAATAAACCAATTAGCCTCTAGGAATAGTTATTCAAATAATTATGTTTGCCAAGCATTTTGTCTACTATACAAATGATCAAGACTATATATGTGTATCCTTAGTTATCTCAAAACATCATATACGGAGTACATATCATGCGGCCAGCCACTATTAAAAATATACTTCGTATATTAATAAAGAAAGGGTTCAGCAAGTAGAAGAGGTAGAAACGAGCTGGAGGAAAATAGCTTCCGACTCAAAAATCATTAACGTTCCGTATTGATGGAGTATTAACTTCTAGAGAGAAGTGGGAGCTAGAGAGAGAAGTGCAATAAATTCTTGTTATTAATGATTTGTGAACCCCCTACAACTACCCCAAGAGAAGTATTTATAGGAAAAATGTGGGTTGGGCTCCCAAGTCTTGGGCTTGGGAGGCCCATTTACAATTGGGCCACTATTGGGCTGAGTACAAAGAGTGTAGAAATAACTAAGTATGAGATTCGGTTCTGGGAGCTCTCTGTGGCTGACGAGGGTCTGGCCGACGGAGCCATGGCCGACGGAGACCCGGCCGACGGGGACACCCGGTTCTCCTGGCTTCTGGACCATGTTCTGAGCTGATATCTTTCTGGCCGATGGAGGGTCATCCGGCCGACGGAGGCCCCACTGGGCGACAGTTGTGCTTCTTATTCTTCTGAGTATGTGGATCCTGGGGTCAAGACCCATATACTCCATCAGGAGTCCCCCACTCTCTGAGCTGAGATGCTGACGAAGTGAGGGAGAGTAGATTTCTTAGTCTCGATGCTTTCTAACCGATGTGGGACCATTATGGCCGTTGTGGCCATTTCCTGTTTTGGTTCTTCGTGTTTGGTCGTTGTATGCCCTTCACTGTGGCCAAAGAAGGCTGATGTTCCCCTGATGGTGTAAGCTTGTTTGTTTGAGGACGATGAGTGTCCTGGCTCAGTGGTCTTGATTTGATTAATCGATGAGGGTGATGTTTCTTCTTTCTGGTCATTGGGGGTTGCCTTTTGTGTTTTGGCCGAGGAGGCCCCATGATTGTTTTCGTACTTCAGGCCGACGCGATGATATTCGTAGTTTGGTGTCCATGTCTTTGAGGACGATAGCGGCACTAATCAAGAAGAAGTTGTGCGTATTTTGATCTCATGGATGATGATGACCCGAGGACGTTGTGTTCCTATTTTCTTATCTTGGACGAGAGTGGAGTACTTGATCTTATGGTCGTTGAGTGACACGCGTCAAGGGACGACACGCGTCACGTTCTGGGAGGTGAGCTATACTTCCTTGTTTGCTGACTTTGTTGCGGTCGAGGGTGCACCACAAGATCCTGGACGTTATGGTGCATATATGACATAATGTTGCTGTAGTTGTGGACTTGTGTGTTTTTGGATTTTTAATTTTGTCCTTGCTTACATTTAGAGGTCGGTGTAGTCCCCCAGTCCCCCACTGCTTCAGGGCGAAGAGTGAGTGAGGGGTGAAGGAGTAAGGCACAAATCTAGGCCGAAGCGGGATCCTTGTATTCCCCTGAATCCAACCCCTTGGCGATTCCTGACCAAGGTAACCCTGTGGGAGAACCCTTGGATGCAGGTCGCTTTCAAGAAGTTATCATCAGGGTTTTATACGAGGGCTGGTAGTTGTAGGATTTGTTTTCACTTTGCTTTGGTGGTCGTTGAAGGGGCCCTGCTGTTGTTAATGTGTCATGCCGATACGGGCATACCCTGGGGGGTTTGAAGCCCAGGAGCGCACTGTCATGAGGTAAGCCGTTGAAGTGATTATTGTCTACTGGGGCCGATGTGGCCTCTGAACGTGGATGTTCATCTCTCCTTGCGTGGCCGTTAAATACCTTGGCTGTTAAGGATGCTGATTGCCGGTACGTTGGAAGCGGGCTGATAGTGCTGGAAGTGGGCCTGGCTCGTCTTCTGAACCGGTGGCAGCTTGTTGGGCCTTGGGGTGGTGGCCGTTCATGTAGCCAATGGGAGGGTGCCACGTGTAGTGACCGTTGGGGAGGTCTATAAATACCCCCCCCCCCCCCCTTCCCGAAGGAAGTCCCCCATTTGCATCCCTTGCTACCGAAGTGCTGCCCAAATTCTTAGAGAGAGAAGCTTGCTCGGGTGTTCTTCCATTCTTTAAAACTTCAAGGGTCAGTTCATCAAACTTTTCTCCGATTTCTTGCATGTTTTGCTCCCTTAGGCCTTGATTTAGTGTTAGTCAAAAAACCACCCTTAGATCTGAAGTAGTTCCTCTTAGGGCTCCAGTAGTTGTTATGATGAAGACCCTAGACGAAGAGTACAACCCGTATGACGACGAGGCTTCTGTCAAATCCCTTGACTACCGAGTGGTGGTGGAGTGCTGCGAGGAGATAGAGGATTTGAGCTCCTTCAAATCAGGAGAGCAAGAGGACGAGGAGAACCAGGATGAGGAGGCTGCCTCGTCGTCTGAAGGTGAGGACGTAGGGGTCTCTCGTGTCATGGATGCAGCATCTACCTCGCCTGCTATTATGTGCCCAAAGCCGGTGTCTGCCGTTAAGGGAACCGCCCCGAAGAGAAGGCACCGGCCGAAGAAGGGTCCCGCTTTCTCCTACTTGGATCTCACCAACGTTCTTATTATCAGGCCGCAGAGCTGCGCGGCTGAGTACCTGGTTGCCCAGATGTACGTGGGACCGTTTGGTAGGGTTAGGGCCCCTAAGCCGACGGACCACGTACTTAATCCACCGCCAGGCTACTTTGGGGTATACCCCATGAGTTTTGCCAAGGGGCTTAGGTTTCCCCTTCATCCGTTCATCACGGAATATTTGGACATGGTGGAGCTTCCTCCGGCCCTGCTAACCCCGAACAGCTATTCCTTGATCATCGGCTTTCTCCTTCACTGTGCCGAGTTGGATTTCAAGCCGACAACGGCTCTCTTCATGAACCTGTATCAAATAGGCCAGGGTAGCCACCAGAACTGTGCCAGCTATGCCAATCTGCAGCAAGTGAAGAATAGGAGGTCCTTCACTGATCTTCCAACGTCCATCCATGGGTGGAAAAGTAAGTTCGTCTTCATGTCGCTGGGTGAGGGTGGGACCGAGTTTCCTTCCGTCGGCCACAGCGGGAGATTTAACCTCCATGATGCGCCGAAGAGTTCAATCTTGGATGCTCAGGTGGCGGCGTTCTTGGGAGGAGGGCCGAGGAGCGTGAAGGAATACATCACGAAGTATAAGATGGCCGCCCTCGGTTTCGTGAGGTACTTCGTCTACGGGGATGCAGAGGATGATGTTGAAATTTGGCCGAAGCCGATGGTAATGCCTCCCCAACGTACTTGATCCCCTTTTCTTTTCTTCGCTTTGCCAATGTTTGTTTTCTTTTTGTGCAGACTTTGTCATGGATCGCAGATCCGTCATGAGCAGGGCTAAGGCGAAGGTGGCCGCTGAACAGGCCGCTAAAGATGTTGCGAAGCTGGCCGCAGAGATCGGAGCGCAGCCAACCTCTGGGCAGCCGTCGAAGCCGCCCACCCAGCCGAAGAAAAAACGGCAGGCTGACGATGGCCAAAAGAAGCTGACTGAGGCCGGCATGCAGCATGCCAAGAAATCAAAGAGGGCTTCTCCCTTAGCCGATGCTGACGTCGGGGCTGTGACCATGCCGGACGGAGACGTTGGGGGCTCCAATGCTGTCACCGTAGTGGACCTAGTATCTGCTCCTTCATCCACTGTTGTCTTCCAGCCTCCCCCTACCGTCCAGGACTCCCGGAAGAAGAGGGCCGGGAAGGAGTTGGTCACGAGGACCTACAAGCTGGAGGTTGAGTACCCCGTGAAGGGAGGAGTCTTCAACGAGGTTGTTGACGGCCACGACGTGATCTCGCAAGTCGTCCCAGTCAAGGACCGGGCCTACCTTGATAAGCTTGGCAACGTCAGAATCTATGACGGTGGAATGGACCTCGTCGTCCAAGTAAGATCGTTTGCATACTCTGTTATTTTCGTCTCCTCTTTCTTTTGTTTGTGTCATTGTAGACGTCACCATCGTCCTAACCATCCCGTTTTTGCAGGGTACCTTCATGCTGATGGAAAGCCACAAGAGGCAGCAGCAAGAGATTGCTCGGCTGAAAAAAGTTGAGCAGAAGGCTGCCTCGCCCGAGGAAGCCATGAGCTGTCTAGATCGGCTGCGGAGCGAGGTAGAGGACCTGAAGAAGAGGGCTGATGAGGCCGATGCAGCCTACCGCCAAGTGGCTGCTGACAGGGATGATGTCCTGACCAAGCTCGCCAGTGAGAAGGAGGCCCGTGAGGCTGATCGTCTTCGTGCTGATGAGGTTGAGAGAGCCAAAGCTGAGGCCGAGAAGGCCGCCGATGCTGCCATCGAGAAGTTTCTGGCCGACTGCTGGAAGGCTGAGGAGCACCGACCTTGGTGCTATGAGCTTGTGGCGACCAGGCTCGAAGATTGGGGCTAGAACTCTTCTGCCGGCCAGGAGTACTTTGATAGGGAGATGTCGGTTTACTATGACATGGGCCAGCAACGGATGCAACGGCTCATCTACAGGAGGTTGCGTCGTAGATGCCAGGAGCTGAAGCTGAACAAAAAAATTGCTCACAAGTTGAAGTTGCCTCCCAGGATGAAGGATCCGGAGGAGGAGGCCAAGCTTCCGACGGAGGAGAGGCAAGCCCCCTCCTTAGCTCCAGCATCGGCGAGGAGGATTGGGATGATGAAGAGGTGTTCCCAGACTCTGCTTCTTTCGAGGCTGATGAGGCCGTAAGTACACCCGTTCTAGATACCGGCGCAGGAGAGGCCTGATCCCTCTTTTTTTGTTCATATGTAACGACCGTAGTGTTTGTATATGTAAAGGTCATTGTGCCCTCCTTTTTGTAGTTTGACTTTTATGAATGGAAATGCTTGGCTGCCGATTCCGGCTTTAATACCTTCTTCGTCTTGTGTCACTACCCCTCCTTTTCCTTTTTGTTTTTACTTTGAAATTTTTCTAAGTGTCAAACAAAGGCTTAAGTAGTTGTTTCCTGTGGTCGTGGCCGATGAAGGGTTTCACCCTTTGTTCGGCTGAGGGAGTGACGTCTTCCTCGTCCTTGTACTGTTTTTGTTATCTCATACTTTGGAAATGTTTCTAAATGTTTAGCTTAGAGTAGGTACTTTGCCCCTTGTTCGGCCGATGGGATTTTGTCCACTTTCGGCCAAGGAGAATAGGTGGTTTGTTTTCGTTTTCATGCCTTAGAATCTTATCATCTTCCTTGGGACTCTTGTCGGCCAATCGGGATGCCACTCATCGGCATACCCCTTTTCCTTGTGTTTAGCTGATATGTACTTAGTCAAATTTTGGGGATTTCATTTTTATTGCTCGAAGCTGGCAAGTGCACGGCCCATCGCTTCCCTCTTTTATTTTTTGGGGATTTCGCTTTAGGCCGGCGAGTGCATGGTCCTTCGGCTGTCCCTATTTTATTTTTGGGGATTTTACTTTAGGTCGGCGAGTGCACTGTCCTTCGGTTGTCCCTCTTTTATTTTCTTCCTCTTTACTTCTTTGAGCGAGGAGTGGGTATCCTTCTTTCACGCTTCAGCCAAGGGGATTGCTATTCCCTTTGCCGGTAAGGAGTCCTACTGGATCGTCCTATGATCTCGGAGAGGTCCCGTCGTCTATTTACAACGCGGGCTAAGGCTTTTGGTCGGTTATCGACGGTTGCTGTTCCTCAACCCCGAGTTTGGGGATTTCTGTCACCTCGGCCATGATTTTGCGTGAACGACGTGGTGAGCTTCCCATTTCAAGACGTGGGCCGTTTGCGGGCCCCTCGTCCTGGGGACATCGTCGGCCTTACCTGAGCGTCTCGCTTTAAGGGGTCGATACGATGTGCTCTGTCGGCCTTTCCTGAGCGTCTCGCTCTAAGGGGTTGATGTAATATGGTATCTTTTCCTTTAACTTTTTAGAAAAAAACAAGTAGAATACAACTTTTATTGATGAGTGGCTCAAGGCCGAGAGTGGTAATCAATCAATAACCCGTGGGAAGGTGAGGGCTTTGTCAGCTTCGCCATCCTCGGATTATTGATAGAATTTCACCAAGTGGTGTACATTCCACGTTCGTGGTACATTAGACCCATTTGGGTGCTTGAGTTTGTAGGTGCCAGGTTTCACTACGGCACTGACAATGTAGTGGCCTTCGTACTTCAGTGCTAGCTTACCACCTTCCATCGGCTTGCTTGCCTCCCTTCGGCGGAGGACGTAGTCCCCCACTTGGAATTCCCGGGAACGTGCCTTGGCGTCATAGTATGATTTTACTTGACGCCGGTAGTTCTTTGCGCGGATGAAGGTTTGCTCACATCTTTCTTCGACTAGGTGAAGGGCGATCTTCATGTTTTCTTCGTTAGTCTCGGGCTCATATTGCTCCACCCGTCAGCTGGGAATGGTGACCTCTGTGGGTGCCTTCGCCTCGAAACCGTAGCATAGGGCAAAGGGTGTTTCGCCCGTTGCCCTCCTCGGCGTGGTACGGTAGCACCACAGGATGTTGGGGAGCTCGTCGGCCCAGCTGCCTCCTGCGTCCTGGAGCTTCTTATTCAGGCCCTCCAGAATGGTTCTGTTGGCGTTCTCAACTTGCCCGTTACCTTGAGGGTAGGCAACGGAGGAGAAATGGTGTTTGATTCCCCATTCCCGGAGGAGCTCTTGGAAGGGTGCAGCCTCGAACTGGGTGCCGTTGTCGGATATAATCTCCTGGGGAATGCTGAAGCGGGTAAGGATGTTCTTATGGACGAACCTCTGGCACCTGGCCCCTCTGATGCTAGCCAAAGGTTTCGCTTCGGCCCACTTGGTGAAGTAATCGACGACGACAATGATGCAGTGGTTGTTACCGGTGGCTCTAGGCAGGGGGGGGCGACCAGGTCTATCCCCCATCTTGAGAATGGGATTGCAGTGCTGACCGGGGCGTAGTTGACGGCTGGCCGACCAGGGGCGTTTTGAAGTACCTGGTATGCGGTACACTTCCTTGCAAGATTAGCACAATCCATGCCATCGTCGGCCAGAAATAGCCTTGGACGACGAGACGGTGGGATATGTTGAAAGGGCCCTGGTGTGAGGAGCAGACGTCATAGTGAACTTCTTCCATGGCTATGTCGGCCTCATTCTGGTGTAGGCATCGGAGGAGAGTGCCATTTGGAGAGGAAACGATTCAGGGCCGCAAGGCGTCCCGACAGCCGTTGTACCTCCTTCACATTTCGTGGTGGCTCCATGTCGACAATGGCCTGGATCTTCTCCGGTTTGATTTCAATGCCCCTTCGCTGACCATGTAGCCGAGGAACTTGTCTCCCTGTACGCCGAAGGTGCACTTCTTGGGGTTCAAGCGGAGTTGGAACTTCTTCATGATTTCAAAAATTTCCCGGAGGTCGTCAGCATGAGTGGTAGATTGTTTGCTCTTCACGATCATATCGTCGATGTATGCCTCCATCGTCCGGCCAAGGATTGCTCTGAAGATTTTGGCTACCATCCTGGTGTATGTGGTGCCTGAATTTTTGAGCCCAAAGGCCATGACGAGGTAGCAGAAAATTCCCTCCGGGGTCATGAAGGCCGTCTTCTCGGCGTCATCTTCATGCATGAAGATCCGGTGGTATCCTCTGAAGGCGTCCAAGAACGACATCAACTCGCAGCCCGCCGTCTCATCCACCAATTGATCTATGTTGGGGAGAGAGAACGGGTCCATCGGGCATGCCTTGTTCAGATCAGTGTAATCAACACACATTCTAAACGTCGGCGGCTTCTGGGCGAGGACGATGTTGGCCAGCCAGGTTGGGAACTTCACCTCCTTGATGTGGATGATTGAGAGGAGCATGGTGACCTCCCCTTTGACGAAGTCTCGTCTGTCGGGCGAAAGGTAGCGCCGCTTCTGCTTGACTGGTGTGGAGGCGGGATCGACCGATAGCCGGTGGGTGATCACCTTCTGGCTGATTCCAAGCATATCGTTCGGCCCCCACGGAAATATGATTGCATATGACCGCAGGACTTTGAGGATGCCGTCGCACTGGTCCTGTGGGAGTTGCTTCCCAATTTTCAGGACTCGTTCCGGTCGAGAGGTGTCCAAGGGGACCTCCTTGACCTCTTCGACCGGCTCAGCATGTGGCCTCTCTTCGTCCTTGGCGACGGTGGCGGTGATAGTGTCCACTCTTTGCTCGGTGCTTGCGGCCGGCTTTGTCAGCTTGAGGTAGCATGCTCTGCCTATCCTCTGGTTTCCCCTGGCATAGCCGATACCATTGTTGGTGGGGAACTTCAAGCATAAGTTCTTCATGGAGATGATGGCCTCCAGGTCCTCTAGTGTCGGTCGCCCCCAGATCAGGTTATGGGCGCACTCGAGGTTGACCACAATAAACTCCATATCGATCTTGGTGCGATGGGAGTCGTCGCCGACTTCCACGGGGAGGACTATCGTGCCCTCGGCGTCGATAGAGTCCCCGGTGAAGCCGGACAACGGTGACCGTATCGGCTTGAGCAATGCCTTATCCCAGTTCAGCTGCTTGAAAGTGTCCAGGTACATGACAGAGTTCCCCGTGTCGATGTAAGTGCGGTGGATGATAGAGTTGCCTATCTCACACCGGACAACGAGGGCGTCTCTGTGTGACGCAGGGCCTAGAGGCAGATCCTTGTCGGTGAAGGTGACCGCCTCCGTCCGCTGCTTCTTCGGCTGGGGGGGGGAGCGTGGGACACCTCCCCAATGTAAAGGGATTGGGCCCATTTTTTCTAGGCCCGAGACTTGGAACCGTAAAACCGGGAAAACCGATCCGAACCGAACCGAATTTTCCGGTTTGGTTCGGTTCCTATAATTTTGGACTTCATCTTTTTTCGGTTCGGTTCCTATAGTATATGATCGGTTCCGGTTCGGTTCCAGTTCGGTTCCGGTTCCTAGATAGGAACCGAACTTCCTATACATTGCACGAGTTATCTTCATTTGAGGTGCTTCTAGGTGGAATTTTTTAACGAAAGTTTGTGAAATTGTTTTCAATGAAATTTAGATTATGTCCACTAAATTTGAGCTTAAAATTCAATCGGGAAATTAGTTAAATAAATTATTGAAAAACACTACGTCAAAATACATATAAAAAACACAATATTTTTCAACATTTTTTTATCTCACTTCCCGATTGCATTTTAAGCTGAAATTTGGTGGATGTAATCTTCACTTCATGTAGAACATGCTTACAAAATATCCTCAAAAAATTCTACCCGGAAGCACCTCAAATGGAGGTTGCCAGACGACGTTTCGGGCAGAAAATTCTTATCAGGAATATTAGTCTTGCATAATATACCTTATAGAAAAAATTCCACTTTTGGTCCCATGACTATTATACTACTTCCACATTTAGTTCCTTACTTTCAT